AGGAGGAGGAGGAGAAGGAGGAGGAGGGGGAGGAGGAGGAGGGGAGGAGGAGGAGGAGGGAGGAGGAGGAGGAGGAGAGGGGGAGGAGGAGGAGGAGGAGGAGGAGGAGGAGGAGGAGGAGGAGAGGAGGAGGCTCGGGCACCAGGATCATGGGCTCCAGCTCACCACCCGCCTCAGGCCTGACTTCATCGCTTCCCCCAGCCGTGGTGCGCCCTTAGGCCCGGCAGCCTGTGTGCTGCCATCACCTCGGCGAGACCTCGGGCTTCGCCTCAGCCCGGGCTGCGAGAAGGGGTTGTTGGACAAGGCTGATTTCGCTGGACTCGAGGTCCCCCCAGCCCGATCTTGGGCGCTCCTCCTCCTCCTCCTCCTCCTCCTCCTCCTCCTCCTCCTCCTCCTCCTCCTCCTCCTCCTCCTCCTCCTCCGCGTGGCGAGCAGAGGTGCTGCCGCCCCCTCCGCTCGCCACGCGCCGGAGGCCCCGTGCGCGCCGAGCACGCCGACCGGGGCAGGCCGCTCGCCGTGCGCAGCCCGTCGGCGCCAGGCGCGGGCGCCGGCGCGGCCGCGGTGCCGAGCGACGTCCACCTCTGGCAGCACAGCAAGGCTGGCCTTCGGAAGTAGAGGGCCGAAGATCCCAGAGATCCCACGCCTTGGAAAAAGCAAGACCGCGGTGTTTCGTACTTTTCGGCCTCGAGGGGCCCTCGCCAGGCCCCAGGACCGTCAAACACGACCCAGGATGAAAAACCGGTCCTGGGGAATGGGTCGAAACTTCCAGGGACCCCGCATTGAAAAAATCACGACATCGGACCTCTGGGATCCACCCCGATAATAACCACCCCGACACGCGAAGCCGTTTAGCAAACGCGCCCAGAGAAGGAATCAAACAGGGCAGGGCTGTTTAGTGAACGTCCAAGGCCGTCCAGTAAACGCCGATTGTCTGGTCTGGGTGGTTTTTCTTTCCTTGAAGAAGGGCCTTCGACCAGGTGGACTTCCTTGGAGGGGACGGGGTCGGTCCCAATGCAGCCGAGCCAAGCGGCTCGCGGCAACAGGAAGCCCCGAGGTTGTGGAAGCCGCCGTGGCGAGCGCAGAGGCCGTCGCCTGGGACATGCGGCACCCGGGTGGCTTGAAGTTTCTTCGAGCCCAGTGAGAGCGTGGCAAACGCGGAAGAACAGCGTAACGACCTGGCCGCGGCCCTCTGAGAAACAACAGTGTTAGCTGGCGCGGACCCCAGCAGGAAGTGGAATCACGGTGGATGTGCCAAAACTGTGGTGCAACCAAAGAGTGTGTTGTGCAAGCTTCGTGGTGCCATTTCCCACGCCAATAGATGTATTGTCACCTGCACTGCTCGCGCGAACATCCGACCCCACCCCCCCAGCACGCTGCTTGGCAGAACCCATGCGGCCGCTACTGCGGTGACTGCTTGGCACCAACTGGCACATTTCTGCAGCCGCGCTGGCCTTCGCACGCTTGCGCGCAGAGCGGCCACCTGGTTTGGCACAACTGGTGCGGCCACGATGGCGCTTACCAATAGGAACTTCCCAGCGGGTCTCAGAGGCCGCGCCGGCGTGCGGGCACTTCAGTGCGGGTCGGTTGCGCGGGCGGGCGCGATGTCGTGATGACGTCGACAACGGCGGCCAGGATGATGACAGTAGTGATTGTAGTGACGATGATGACGATGACGACGGCGAGGCCAGCGACGGCCCCGATGCTGGTGACGACGATGACAATGAGCTTGTCCACAAGTGCCCACGTGTCGGTGGTAAAGGTCATTGGCTGGTGACGTCGGCAACGGCGGCGATTGACGATGGCGATAACGGCGGTGGTCCGATGGCGCTGGTGAGGGTGATGGTGAGGAAGTGCGCGCGCAGGAACTCAAGAGAGCTGGTACAGGCGGGGCGTTGACCTAAGGAACCCTAAATAAGGAACGAGGCCCCTTTTGCCCATAAGTTCAACCTCGATTTCCCATGGACAACCTCGGGAAAACCCGAGGCAAACTTTGAAACAATCAAGGAACACCGAGCCCCTCCCCAACGAAAAGGGTTCCTTCTTCAGCGCCCCGACTGTAAGGACTTTGTGTCTCAGATCACTCGTGTCTTCGTGAGGCGGCCACGGGCGGCAGCGCGGCGAAACCTCCACCCAGCGCAGCGTATGAGGCGGCCAGGGGCGGCCACGCTGCGAAGCCTCGCTGGACCCACCCAGCGCAGGAGGCGGCAACGAGGCGTCCACGGGCGACCACGTGGCGAAACCTCCCCGTGCCCACCCAGCGTATGAGGCGGCCACGAAGCGGCCACGGGCGGCAACGTAGCGAAACATCCCCGCACCCACCCAGCGTATGAGGCGGCCACGAAGCGGCCACGGGCGGCAACGTGGCGAGGCCTCGTTGGACCCACCCAGCGTATGAGGCGGCCACGAGGCGGCCACGGGCAGCATCGTGGAAAATCCTCGCCAGGCCCATTCACTTCTGTAGCAACGTAAGTGGCAAACCCGAAGTGCAAGCACTGCGGAAGGAAAAAAGAAACATGCCACAAACATAAAGTATCAGAGTTCTGCGCGGGTTTCTCGGATCGGCACAAGGGCCCCCTTGCGGCGCCTCCGGCGCTGCTCCTGGCTCGCTTCGCGCGCCAAGGAGGGGGGCTTAGCGCCGATCCGAGAAATCCGCGCGGACCTCGCAAAGTTCATGATTGTGCAGTGTTTCTTCTTCGGGTCCTGAAGGCCGTCGACCATCCCACAGCAAGAGCGGCAGAAGATCAGACACGACCAGTGTCCTCGTGAGGCTCGGCATCATCAGCGTTGGTGCAGCAACACGACACGGTCGCCGTGCTGCCTCGTCGTCATATTGACTGTCAGTGGTAGCTGTCGTTGGCGTGCCCGTCCCAGCGCGCCCGCGCGCGCGCCCCGCGCTGGTAATGAGGGCTGGGCGACTCTTGCGGCTCGGGGCCCTCTGTGGCCCACACCAGGTCAGGCAACTCCGCCACGTTCAGCTTCTTGCCTGGTCGGACCGTCGGCCACACCGTGTCCGACTTCACGCCCGGACAGAGGGCCACCAGCCAGACCCAACTCTGCTGCACCGACTCCTGCCGCAAGTTCTGTGCACGTGGGGGCGCGGGGTAGACACCCGTGCTACATGACCCTCTCTTGTCGGAGATGACCCTGCGACGAAGCCCGCGGTTGCGCCGTGCAAGACCGGGACGGTCGACGTGACGTCGCTCTCCAGGGCCAGATCCCAGACAGGTTAAGAGCATACTGCGACGCTTGATTTGTGCGCAGTGGCGCAGGAATAAACGCGACACCAAAGTACACGCCAGTCGGAAGAAGTGGGTAGAAACATGAAGTAGGAAGGCGGATAAAGTAGATTGGGTTCGGGCCCGCCCAAAGAACAACAAACAACAGCCAGACCATATCGATTATTTCCAACGGATGGTGTCTCCAAGGGAGGCGCGGCCGCATTGTGGCGAGAGAGCTTGGGCAATGTCACAGTCCTTCGCGAATGCGCTCTTGGCAATCGAGTTATAGCTGTATGGAATCGTCTTTTGCGGCGGTCAGTGCTTATGGCCCCGTCAAGGGCGATTGTCAGTGGTTGGATAAGACTCTTCATTTTGTTCCAAGAAGTTTCCAACGAGACGGCTCTCATTGGCGATGTCAACTGGAGAGCTCGGTATTAGTCACTACTTAGCCATGGTTGGCATACGGTGGTCCATGTCTGCCCTACGGTTTCGCCAAATACCAGCCCCACAAGATGCTTGAGGTGGATGGCTGATGCAGGCTCGGCTCCGACTCATCTCAATTCACGGTTTCCCAAAACAGTACGTTTACTCGAGGGTTGCTAGTTCTTTCCGATCAGTTTAGGGGTCTTCAGAATTTTCGCCCGGTGTACGCCCGTTGCTACCTCGTCACCACCTCGGAGGGTGGCTGCGTTTGCCAGGGGGAAACAACCGAAGGAGGAGGAGGAGGAGCAGCAGCAGCAGGAAGATCAGGAAGGATATGAACGGCAGCAAGTCAAAAGGGGACCTCGCCCCTCGCCCCTCCATCAACTGCCCGACAGGAGTGACCTCCACACACACACACAAACACACAAACACACACAGACAGACAGACAGGCGTACACAAACACAAACACACAAACACACACAGACAGATAGACGGGCGTACACACACACACACACACACACACACACACACACACACACACACACACACACACACACACGCGCACGCACACACATTCACACACCCAGACACACCTACTCAAACAACACACAAAACTTACCCCACTGCTGCGTTCTCGCTGCCTCATCCGCACCCGCTACCTTGACGACCACTTCTCGAGATGTGCACACGGATTTTGTTCCGTCGTGCTGCCATTTGCTCGAGCCACCGTCCTTCACATTCTTCACCCTGACCATGATGGGACGCACAGAGACATACTAATACTAGATGTCCGCCTTGGAGGCGCACATCCGACCCGAACATATAGTTTACCCATCTTGAAGTATATCGTTTCTCGAGCGGTGTGGTCAGAAAGCGCCCGCCACGACGCATATACTGTAAGATTTCTCGGTGCGCGCGTCGCCCCTGGGGGGGCGACGAACACATAGTATAAGTATGTTGGGGGGACGCCGATATGATGACGATGACAAGCGCGACCCGTTTTGCTGCTCTTGTCCTTCTTGCGACCCTTCTTCCCCTTCCGCTGGTCAGGCTCAGCGGACAGTCGCTGCTGCTCGGGCTGCCACTCCGTGTACTGCAGCTGCTCCATCTGCTGCTGCTCCTAAGGAGCCGAACTCTATACACCGACGCTTTTTCTGGCCCCGCACCGAAATTCGCACAGGAAACCGGATCCTGGTGTATACGGGGTTTGGGTGTATACAGGTTCGTTCTTGCCACGGGAAGACGGGGAAACGAGTATACACCACACCACCCCGACGTCGCCCCCGACCCTCCAAAAAAGTCCTGGGACTGAGAAACGGCCCGCCACTGGCAGTGTATATGTTCCGGCCTCCGAACTCCATGTGCTGCAGCTGCTCCAGCTGCTGCTGCTCCCACTCCGCCGCCATCTCGGGCGCCACGGGCTGCGCTGGGGGCGGCATGCACGACCCCTGCTCCGCCGAGGGCGGCTGCAGCGCGCCGCGCACGCTGGGCAGGCCGGACGCAGCTCGCTGTGCCGCGGACGGCTCCCGGGAGAGGGGCCGAGCTGCGGCGGCAGCGCTCTGCTCGATGGCCTTCGACTGGCCCCCCTCCGCGGACTGGCCGCCAGCGGCGTGGGGCTCTGGGCCCCAGGGGCCGCAGCTCTCATCGGCTAGGCCGAGGGAGAGACCGAGCTGTCGCCTCTTCAGCTCGTACATCTGGGCCTGCAGCTCCTCCTGCGCCTTGCGGGTGGTGTACTCCACCGCCATGGCGTCGGCCTGCTGGTCAATGAGCGACCTCCTGCGGGCGGCCTCCTGCTCCAGCTGGCACTTGTTCTCGGAAGAGCACGCCCTGAGCATCTGCTCTGCCTCCAAGGCCTGCTTCTCGATGGCAGCATGGGCGGCCTGCTCCTGGTGCCTGACGCGCTCGCGGAGGAGCTCAAGCTGTGCCCGGTGCGCCTGCTCCAGCCGCCGCCGGTCCAGGCTGTACTGGTCATCGAGCCTCTGCTCGTGGCCTGCCTCCTGGATCCTGATGCTCTCCTGGGGCGGGCGGGCGCAAACGTGCCAGTGAGCTACCCCGCCCACGGCCCCAATCCCCTCGCAGGAAGAGGGGGGAGGGGCGGGAGAGGGGCGGGATAGGGGCGGAAGAGTCGGCGGAGCGAGTTGAAGGACGGGATGGTGGGACACGGCAGGTTCGCGTCGCGGCGACCTGGGCGTTGGTTCCTGACGCCGCGTGGATCGCTCAGCCTTGAGCGATCGCGGCATCTCTGACAGCGTGCGTCGCTCGATGCTGGCCGCTATCTGGAACCCGGCGCCGCTCGGCCTGGGAACACCCCGGGCCGGGGTCGCCGGCAGGTCGCCGCGGCGCGAACCTGCCGGAAGCGCACGCCTTCCGCCCCCCGCGTCTCCGGGGTCGGAAACCCCACGAGCAGGCTGGGCGGCGGCTCTGGCGGGGCCTCCACGGGCCGCGGCCTCGGCGGGAGCTGCGGCGCGGCGGCGGGCACGGCGGCGGGCGCGCCTGCCTGCACGGGGAGGTGGTGCGGAGGCGGCGCGACCGCGACCGCCCACGGCACGTGCGGGCCTGCCACGGCCTGCCGCGGCTGCAGCACGGGGGTGCGGGGCCCCGGCGCCAGGGGCAGGGCGTGCTGCGGCGGAGGGGCCTGCGGAGCCAGCAGCGGCCGCACGCCGGCGTGTGCGGCAACCGTGTAGGCTGGGAGTGGGTGCCCTTGCTCGAGCTGCGCAGGCTGCCACGCCGCCTGAAGTTCATGTGCAGCGCCGCGATGGTAGTGGCTTGCAGAGGTGGGAGCCAGGGTCGTCACGCTGAGGAACGTGTCGCCACGATAAGGCAGCGACATCGCGCTGGCTTGTAAGCCAGGGTCTCTTCCTCCTCCTCCTCCTCCTCCTCCTCCTCCTCCTCCTCCTCCTCCTGCTCCTCCTGCTCCTACTGCTCCTACTCCTCCTCCTTCCCCCCGCTCTGCCTCCTCCTCCTCTTCCTCCTCACGAAGTGTCCTCTTCTTCCCAGTCGCCTCTGCAACCTCTTCCTTGCCCTCCTCCCTTTCCCTCCTCCTCCTCCTCCTCCTCCTCCTCCTCCTCCTCCTCCTCCTCCTCCTCCTCCTTCGCCTCCTCCTCCTTCGCCTCCTCCTCCTCCTCCGTCCTCCCGCACAGCGCCGCAGGAGCGAAGCCCAGGGCCACCCACGGGCGCTCCCACCGTGGCCGTGCAAGGCGGCCTCGCTGCACTCGGGCCGAGGTCACCGCGGGCGGAGGGTGCGGATGAGATTTTGCAAGGGAAGGCGCGGAGGAAGAGGGGCAGGGTGAGGAGGAGCCGAGGATTATGGATGGAGGGGAGGATGGTGGAAGAGGGGGGCGAGGGGGATGACAAAGTGGAGGTGGGGGTGGAGGTGGATGGGGGAGAGGAGGGGGGAGAAGGATGGTGGAGAAGGGGAGGAGGACGGTGTGGAAGTGAAGGTGGAGAAGGGAGTGGAGGATGACGAGGAGGGGGAGGCGAAATACGATGATGATGATGATGATGATGATGATGATGATGATGATGATGATGATGATGATGATGATGATGATGATGATGATGGTCAGGATGGTCAGGATGATGATGATGAAGATGGAGATGATGATGCTGATGATGCTGATGATGTTGCTGATGATGGTGATGGTGATGCTACTGATGATGATGATGATGATGATGATAGTGCTGATGATGATGATGACAACGAGGATTATGCCGATGATGATGACGATGATGCTGACGATGATGATGATGCTACTGATGGTGATGCTGATGCTGACGGTGATGATGATGCTGATGATGACGATGATGATGATGAGCATGATGATGGTCGTGGTGATGGTGATGATGGTGAGGATGATGATATTGATGCTGATGCTGAAACTACCAATGATAATACGAATGAAACGTTTGATAATAACAATAATAATAATGCTGATAAAGAATAACGATGATAAGTAATAGTAATCATAATAATAATGGTAAGAATAAAAATGATACTGATACTACGAATCATACTACTAGTAATGGCAATACCAATTTTATTGATGATGGTGATGGTGCTGCTGATGTTTATGATGACGATGACGATGCTGAAGCTGGTGCTGATGCTGATGCCTGTGCTGCTGCTGATGATGATGATGATGACGACGACGATCAAGGTGGTGGTGATGATGACGCTGCTACCGCTGATGATGGTGATGATGAGGGGCAGCAGGAGGAGGACGAGGATCGTGCGCGCATCAAACCGACCCGCGTGCGAAAGCTGCGCTGGTCGGGCGCGGCCTGACCGACCCCTTCCGTGATAGGCCTCTTCCGTGACGACTCTCTCACCCTCGAAGCGGCTCCCTACTTGCCCTGTTGTGAGAAGACAGGCCGAGAGCATCGGCCCAGGACCCCCTTTGGCTGCCCCACGGCACACCCCCGCAAGCCTCCGAGTGGTCTCGGCTGCGGGGGCTTTTGGACCGCATCAAGCTTGGCAGCCAACCCCCGTCGGGGCCACCGGCGGAGGGCATGCGGAAGTCGAGCGGCGGCAGCTCCGCCGGCGGAGGGGCAGCAGAAGGATCAGCCGACCCACGGGCTCGCGCGCCAGCTCCGGCGGGGGCGCCATGGGCCGCGTCGGCTACCGCCGCGCCAGATGGGGGTCGTCGCACTCCGCCTCCGCGCGCTGGCTGGCCTGAGGCGCCAGCGCCTCGCCGAGCGCCTCGGCCCAACCGCCGAGAAGAGCGCGTGCGCCGCCCCCGCCGCCGCCGCCGTGGCTGCGCAGGCCAACACCCCGAACTCAGCTGCGAGCCACACGCGATCGGTGGATGCCGCTCCACTCGTGAAGACACTGCGCTGCCACCACAGCGGACATGAGACACGCAACAGCGAAGCTGCAGCTCAACCTTGGCCTCCCAAGCACTCGGCGCGGCGCGCCAACAGCTAGAGCCAAAATGATGATGAGAGATGACGAAGGCAAGGAGGACTAGTAGGCATGCGTAGGAGGAAAAAAAGAGCAGGATGAGGGTGACGACGCCGAGGATGACAACGAAGTGGAGGGAGAGAAGGTCTGCGCTGCAGAAGCGTTTCCTGCCCTTCACTGGCGTCCGGTCTGGTGTACTCGAACATCATGTGGTTCCCAAGCTATATGTCTGCTACTGGAAGATCGCCCGTCCACGCCGCAGGGACGCTCGCCGTCGTGCCCACACTGGCGTTGGCCCCGCCCCCCCCATTGGAAAGCGGCCTTCTCATCGTGTTGGTTGTCCGTTTCCAGTCCCTGCGCCTGCCGCGTTGGCTCCGACAGAAAACCTCGCACTCTGCCACGGGAAACGCCGCCCTGTAAACCCTCAACTGCCCAGGGAACTTCACTCCAGACTCATGACCACTCTGAACGGCCCCGTCAAGGCCCACGACCGCCCCCGGAGGTCCTGTCCCGAGACGGCCCTGGAACGGCCAAGCGCGTCTTCCGGACGGCCCAGGACGGGCCCGGCCCGGCACGCCACACACGCGCGGGAGCCGCCGTCGAAATCTGCATCGCCCTGGGTTTGCACTCCTCTCGCCACGTCCTGGCCTGGTCGTCCCCCGCTGTCCCCGCACTCCCCGCGTCCCTCCGCGCCTCGCCATACCCCCGCGGGGGCGACAGCGGGGGCGAATGGCGCAGGGGAGAGCAATGCATGTGGCGGGTTCGGGAAACCCTGCACCCCAAAAAGTTGCCACCCCTTGAAGGGCAACGTTTTACTTCCGCCAGCTTCCGCCGGCGGGGGTGGCCCCGTTTTACTTCCGCCAGCTGCCGCCGCCTTCTGCCAAGAAAGAGATGTCAGCTCCTTCAATCCTCGAAGGCGTGGCCCCTTGTTCACGGTGAGGACATATGTTCTCCCCTCACCTGCCGAAGTACTTGCTAGCATGAATTCGAGAACGGCCACCAAACATGGTGAAGTAGGCCACCGAACCTCGCCCTGCGAGCGCCCGCGGCGCCCCGCCGAGACGCGGCCGCCTAAGAGCTGCACGAGCAGCGCTCGCAGGTCGCGGCAGCGTTCGTGTAGCGCCGCAGCCACGTCCGGGCCGCTCGCGCTGCCCTCGAGTTGGTCGAGCGCCTCCGAAGCCCGCTGGAACTCCAGCTCCAGGCGGCCCCGCCCGGCGTCCGCGGCAGCCGTGTCCGCCGCCGCAGGCGACGCGGAGGCCGCGCCCCCCGCGCCAGCAGCCGCCGCCGCCGCTCCCGCCGCATCCGAAGCCGCGGTGCCAGCGAGGCTCCGCCGCGCCGCCTACCGCCGCGGGCGCGGGGGGCGTCGACGCCGCGGCGAAAGCCGCGGCGGACATCGCCGAACGCGCCACGGCCGCGACGGTGCGCCGCGGAGCGCCCGCTTTGGCCGCCGCACTCACCGCCCCCTCCACCAGGATCGCGGCGTCGCCGACGGCGAGAGCCTCTCTAGCGAAGCGCGGGGCGTCCATCTCGAGGGGGCCGACCCGCGCGCCAGGCCTGCCACCGCTTGAGCCAAAATGGCGGCGAGGGTTCTTGTTTACTCTTCAAGGGCCCCGAGGGGCCCGCGCGTGCAAATGGATTCTTCCCGCCGGCAACGTGCGCGCTGCACTCGCTAGCCCGCGGCACACCTCACGGGAGCTAGGGCCACTGCGCCTTCCGCGCCAGCCACAACGCCGCAAGCCTGCGGCTCATGCAGCGCTGCCTCAGCGGCTCCATGGCATCCACCAGCTCCGTCACTTCGACGGGTTCCCGGCCCCGCGGTCTCTTCGTCGATTTCTGTAAGCCCGACGCTCGCTGAGCTGCCATCTCCAAGCACACCCAGCGCGTCAAGCAGCTTCAACGCCTCGCCCTCGTACTTCATGTGTTCCAAGAGCGCCCCATGCCCTCAGCCTTCACGTTGTCAGAGATCGCCGCCGCCCCGCACAGAGCGATATTCACGATCGACTCGATGTCCTGTCCGAGCCTCGCCAGGTAGTCGGCAGCAGGCTGCGGAATGTCCCTCGACTGCACCTGCAAGACGACCTGCACGTGCTCGCCCTGCTCGCAGGAGCGCGGCTCGACTCTGTCGTCGTCCATCTCCTGCCCATCGTGGCCCTCGGCCCCCGACTCGAACCAACAGCGGGCAATGCTGGCCCTCGCGGCCCACCACCTCGCCTGAGCAGCGTCAGCAGGAAGGGAGGAGGGAGGCAGCACACCCATACGCCCATCTCCTGCTCCTTCACGTCCACCTCCCCAAAGGCAACTCCGCCGAGGGGATCCCCGTCTGCATCGGCGGCAGCAGCTGAAACGCCCTCGACACCGTCGCGCACGTACTCGAGCTGCTTCACGGAAACGTCCTCGGCCCCGTACATATCCTTCGCGCCCGTCGCAGCTCCGAACCCCGCCAGGCGCCAGTCCGCCTCCAAGCCGTCCACGCAGCCTGCGGGTGCGGGTTGGGCGAAAGCCACAGCCCAGGCGCGAGCTCCGCGCACACGGGGTCGACCACCGACGGCTTCTCCTTCACGTCGTACCCCTTCGCGCATTCACCTTCCGCCTGCAGTGCGAAGGCAAGCGCGAAGCAGGGGGCCTCCACGTTCCGCTCCGTCGGGCCGAAAAACATCGACCCGAGCGCCGCGGCGTCACAGAGACCGATATCCGCCTGGACCACCCGATGGCTGCACCGGCCGGCCAGACCGGGGCCGAGGCGCGGACCGCGCCGCGCCGCTCGCAGCTGGCGCGGGCTGGCGCGCGCCACATCAATTCCCTCGGCCGCTGCTTGGAGGGCCACGCCCCTGCGCAGCTTGTCCACGGGCACGGGGTGGATCCCCTGCAGCAGCGCGGCGAGCGCGGGGGCCACGGCGACCAGCCGCTGGACCACCTCCTCATCGCCGAGCGCGTGCAAGATCGCCTCGTGCTCCGCGCGGCCCGAGGCGAGCTCCCGCGCGAGCCGCTGGACCAGCGCGTGGGCGGAGGCCCGAGCTCCAGCAGCACCGCGAAGACGCCGTCGGCCCCCTACCACTCCAGTTGCTGCACACGCCGCGGGCGGGGCGGCGGCAGCATGTCGCGCCATCTCTGGTCCCGCGCGCCGAGCGGGCGGGACACCAGGCCTTGAGCCAAAATGGCTACGGACGCAGTGAGGGCATTGGATACGGAACCCTTGGATGAGGAATCTAAGGTCTGGACGCTGGGGGGAACTCCGATCGTGGGTTGGCCATGGATATCACCGCCGCCCCCATCAGATAAGGAATGGCCCAGGGTCGGCAGGCTGCTGGGCACTTTCCTGAATCGACGCCCCCACAGTGCCCAGTGGCGCCGATGGTCCATGCCGTCGGCGAGGCTCTCGGGCGAATGCGTGTAACGCCCGCCCCTGGGTTGTTCGCCCTTCTAGTCGCCTCCGGCCCCCCTCCCCTTTGCCGTCCGTTTGCGATGAGGACGCTCCGGCGCGCGAGCCCACGGCCAGCCGGGCGACGTGGCGCGATTGGAGGAAGTCGGTGGCCTTGCTAAGGCTCCACCTCCAGGCGTGCCCGCGCGTCACTGCTGCTCCTGCTGCTGCTGCTGCTGCTGCTGCTGCTGCTGCTGCTGCTGCTGCTGCTGCTGCTGCTGCTGCTGCTGCCCGTCGCCCTTCCTGCCCGGTGTTCCGTCTCCTTTTCCTTCTCCGTCGCCGCCTCACCTCCATCGTCCGCGTCCTCCTGGCACCCCTCCGCCTCCAACCTCCCAAGCGTAACATGCACATCCTCCTGTTTTGCCACATTGTTTCTCCTCCGCCCCCGCCTCCGCCTCCGCGTCCGCCTCCGCCTCCTCCTCCTCCTCCTCCTCCTCCTCCTCCTCCTCCCCCTCCTCCTCCTCCGCCTCCTCCTCCCCCTCCTCCTTTCCTCCTGATCCTCCTCCTCCTCCTCCTCCTCCTCCTCCTCCTCCTCCTCCTCCCCCTCCTGCTCCTCTTCCTCGTCCTCTTCCTCCTCCTCCTCCTGATCCTCCTCCTCCTAGATCCCATTCCTCCGCTTCCTCCTTCTCCTCCTCCTCTTCTGCCTCCTCCTCCTCCTTCTGTTCTTCCTTCTTATCATCATACTATTCCTCCCCTTCCTTCTTCTTATTATTATGATTCTTATTAGTCGTCGAATTATTCTTAGTATTATGATGAGTCGTCCTCTTATGGGCATTCTGAATATTATTATTCGCATTCGTATTATTATGCATGTTATTACTATTCTTTTTTTCTCATTAGTATTACTATTATCATGTTAGTATTGTTAGTATTCCTCTTCCTCCTCCTCCTCTTCCGCCTCCTCCTCCTGCTACCCCTCCTCCTCCTCCGCCCCATCCACCGTCTCCGCCCTCTTTATCCTCATCCTCCTCCTCTTTCCCTCATCCTTCTGTGCATCCACTTCCTCATCCTCACCTCCTGCACATCCTCCCCCTTCCGCTCATCCTCTTCACCGTGTTCCTCCCTCTCCTTCATGTTCCCCTTCTCCTCCACTCTCTCAGATTGCTTACAGTTCGCTTCGTGATCCTCCTCCTGTTCCTCCTCCTCCTCCTCGTCCTCCTGCTCCTCCTTGTCGTCGTCCTCCTCCTCATCGCCCCGTCCCCTTGCTCCTCCAACACGCAAGCGTGCCATCCCTCTCGTGTGCGCACCCCTCCCCGTAGTCCCTGTCCTTTTCCTTCTCCGACTCATCATCCTTTTTCATCCTTCTCCCCCAACCCTGTTTCTTACTAAAAGCTCCTCGTCTTCGCACCGTCAGAAATGTCGGTCGATTGTCTGGGTGCTTCACCCGAGACTCTCTCGCACCGTATGGCCCCAGATGTTTGTATACGTTTACGGCTACACGGGGTAAAGGGCGATTCGTGTTCGAGATGTGGGCCTCGCTTGCAACGCGCCCACACTCGTCTCAGAAGTCTCCAACAGCTGCAAAAGATTGTGGTTGGGCCGTTTTTTGTGCAGAGTGTGGCCTTCGCAGGAAGACTAGCCTGAACAAGTCCCAACTCTCACATGGGTGAAGGGCGGCTCCTTTTTCACAATGGGGCTCTCGTCAGCGTGGACCCCGAACAATGGATGTTCGCACCTGCGATGTGCACAATGTGATTTGCCACCTGTGGGGTGTACCTAGTTTTTGTTCGCAATGAGTTGTCAACCCCTGCTCGCGCAATCATCCTGCCCACCCGCCCGCAACTTGGCTTGTAAAATTCATGCGGCGGCGATTGCGATGGCTGCTTAGTGATTGACTGGCGCATCGCTGCGCCCGCGATAGCGCGCGCAGGCTTGCGCGCAGTGCGGCCAGCCAATCTTGCGCGACCGACGCGGCCGCGGTGGCGCTGACCGCTTGGGACTTCCCAGCGAGTTTCGCAGGTCGCGCTGACGCGGGAACACTTCGGTGCGAGTCTGTGACTCGGGCGGGCGCGGTATCATGGCGACGTCGGCAACGGCAGACACGATCATGGTAGAAGCGGTGCTGGTGACGATGGTGGTCATGATGACGGCAAGGCCAATGACAGCGCCGATGCTGATCACGCCGATGAAAATAGTGGTGCCCACCTGACCGTGACGAAGATTTCTGGAGGATTTCGACATGCATGCGCGGCAGATGGGCGCGAGTGGCCCGCATGTTATTAGATGACAGAGGTCGTGCCCCCCCCCGCAGGCGTTCGAATGATGTCGACACGCACACGCAAGGGGCCCGTCTGGTCGCGGTTGATGAACAAGAAAGAAACCGCTGGTTCTCGTGGGAGTTCGCAAGAGCGCGCGCAGACTGTTGTTGAAAAATCTCGTTTCGAAGCCATTGGAGTGTTACATGTGTTTGGGAACCTCGAGCAGGCATTCCTTGCGAGCCATGGTCTTTGAAGACTGTCAGCGTGTGCGCTCGACGACGCGCGCGCGCGTCGACTTTGTCATATGTCCGTCGCAAGGGATTTTGTGGAAACAGCTGATTTTTGATAAACGAGTGCGCGCGCATACTATGATTTGAAGGGGTTGATAGGGGGGGGGCGACAAGGCCACTCCCAGGAGTGGAATGAATTCGGAATTAAAACGAACAGGGGCGCACAACCATACGTAAACTGTACTATCCCAGGTGGAACCAATAAGACCGGGGGGGTGGGGGGGGGGGTACATCCTAATTTCTTCTGATGAGTCTAATCTGAAATGAACTTTCAGTTCCACTGCCCGCGCAAACGTCCCACCCTACCACCCGCAACTTGGCTGGCAAAACCCATACGGCCGCGAAAGCGGTTGCCGATCGCCACCTGCGAGCGCACCTCAACGACCGCAGCGGCGCAGGCACGCTCGCGTCCAGAGCGCCAGCTGGCACGGCGCAAGCGGCGCGGCCGCAAAAGCGCTTGCCGATGGGAACTCCCCGCCGCGCCCTAAAGGCAGCGCCGGCGCGCGGGCGCCTCAATGCGGGTTGATGGCGTCGGCGGCAGTGGCAACCGCGATGGCAATAACGACAGCGGGATGACGGCGGCAAGGCCAATGACGGTGCCGATGCTGGCGGCGACGGCGACAATGATGATGTCCGTGCGCTGGCGATAATGACGGCGGCGCTGACGAGGGCGATGGCGACGAGGTGCGCGCGCGCAGGGTTTGAGGAAATGCGGGGAACATGTTCTTGAACAGTATATGGTTTCCATCTGGTGTTGAAGACATTGGCCATGTAATGCAGAATGTGCGTTTCGCATGGCGTTGGGAAGATTTCCACGCGCGCACGCGGCAGCGAGCGCGTCTGGCCCGCGCAATTGCACGTGGTTTCTCGCCGCGGGTGCATGCTAGATCAGCGCGGACGCACCGCGCGGCGAGATGAGAATGCGTGGGCCATGGACGAGATTGCATCAAGCATGCGGTTTTCTTCTGATTGCTGCAATAGGCGCAATATGTTGGATAAGTGCAAGTGGGTACAACGTTTGCAAGACAAATGTGGCTGGCGAGACTTCGACGCGCGCTCCCGCGCGGAGTTAGTGGCATCCTGATGCGCGGGAGTATTGTGGCAGGGCTTTTGAGGTAAGTTACTGTGCGCGCATGGTCGCATTTGTCAAGGATGATACCCGCTTTCCTGGGATGGCGCGATACCGTGCGCACAATGAGCGATGAGGCAAAATCGCGTGCACATTACAATGCGAACAGAAATGGATTAGCCCCCGGCGTGGGACAAATATCACCTGTTTCTGCGACTGTGGACTTAACTCAACGCAGGACTTGAAGCCGTCAATTCTACTGATCACGCAAACATCGTACCCCCTGCCGATTTGCACTTGCGAGCGCATATCTACGATGCGCCCTCGAGCGCAGAACGACCACCTGGTTCGGCACAGCCGATGCGGCCGCGATGGCGCTCATCGATGGGACCTTCCCACCGCGTCTCCAAGGCCGCGCTGGCGCGCGGGCACTTCAGATCGGGTCGGTAACTCGGGCGGACGCGATTCCCTGGCGACGTCGGCAACGGCTGCGACGACGATGCTAATAGCGATGTTGGTGGCGATGATGGCGCCGACAACAGCAAGGCCAATGACGGCACCGATGCCGGCGGCGACGATGACCATGGTGATGTCCATGCGTCCGTGGTGAAGGTGATTGCGCTGACGATGGCGGCAATGGCGGCGATTGACGATGACGATAACGGCAGTGCTGCGGGGGCGCTGGTGAGGGCGACGCAGACGCGCGCGCAAGAATGCAAGAAATGCGCCAAACGGTCCGTTAACAGGCATGTGGCTATAATTGTTTTTGAAGGGCTCAATCCTGCAACGCTTCGAAATTTAAAAAGATATTGGAAGATTCCGACGCGCGAGCGTCTGCGCGCGCAAGTGGCACGCGCGGTATTATTTGTTGCGGGCTCGTGCACTGGGCGCATGCTACATCTACGTGGATGCACCAAGCGGTGAGATGAGGACGCAAGTCATGATCGAGATTGCTAACATCATGTTGATTTCTTGTGATTTCAGCAGGTCCGCGCAGGCAGAAATCTGCAGCGCTTGCACTTCGTTTTGCCTGGTTTCGACACGCGCGCACGTGAGTGGACTTTGTTTTACCTGATGGGGAAGATTCTTGAACGTGATTTTCTGGGATAAACGACTGCGCGCGCATGGGATCGTTTGACAAAGATGGCGGCCAGGTCTATGCCGGCCCTCCTGGGATGCCATGCCTTCGCAAGCAGAACGAACGACGTGGTAGAATCATCTGTAGTTTGCAATTTCCTGGGTGAGGAAGCATGCCCGACCTCGGAAGGGCGGTGGGGTCTAGCCCGCTGCACACAAAATATTCACCTTGCTGGCGCCCGCGCGTGATATCCCACCAGCGCACGGGCCACTCGTTCGTGAAATGGAACTGGCGCAATTGCGCGAGAACCCTTCTCATGCAGATCCACGAAGCAGGCGGGCGGATGCTGGCGATGGTAGCGATGGCGGCGCCGACGACGAAGGCGACAATGACGACGAGGACGATGATGACGATGGCGACGGAGATGGCGGTGAAGACGGTGGCAAAGGCGACGCTGGCGATGATGACGATGACGACCATGGCGCCGAGAGCGACTGCAACGACGATGGCGAGGGCGACGTTAAAGAAGACAGTTGGGATGATAACAGAGACGATGGCGACAGCGATGAAGATGATGGTGATGCTGGTGGCAATGACGACGCTGGCGATGGTGATGACGATAATGCTGGCGCGGATGATTAGGAAGTGCGCGCGCGCAAAAGTTCTGAAACCCTGACGCACCTTGCACTAAATCGCCAGTGTGCTTTCCTCTGTTGAGCACACATGTGTTGTGAATTGCTTGGTAAATCAAAACGGCTTTGGAAGGACTTCGACGAACGCGAGGAGACGCGCGCGCGAGTGACCCGGATTGTATTTTTCTAGAGAGGTGGTAGGTGGCTGGTGATTGTTAGAGATTTTCGACATGCGCGCGCGCGTGGCCCGCGCGGGCTCGTTCGACAGAAAGGCCAGCAGCCTGCTGTTCCATCGCGATTCCAGCAAGCGCGCGCGCGGACATCGGGCAACTGTTCGTCGAAGAAACAACGTTTCTAATGGGTACTTAGAATCGAAGTTTGGGGGGTGAGATCGCAGTGGAACGGAGACCCCCAAACGGGAAGTCGTTTCGTTTCGTTATTGTCGCGCGTGCGGGCGAGGCGAAGCTGCGCGGGCGCGCGAGAGGAATGAACCCGCCGTTGCTAGGGCGAAGTCAAAACAAATGATTCTCCCCCTCCCGCCCGTGCGGCGGTGGCTCGCGGTGTCCCGCGGTGTCCCGTGGTGTCCGCCGTTGCTAGGGCGAAGTCAAGACAAATGATTCTCCCCCTCCCGCCCGTTCGTCGGTCAGTCCAGCGGTGGCTCGCGGTGTCCCGTGGTGTCCCGTGGTGTCCGCCGTTGCTAGGGCGCAGTCAAGACAAATGATTCTCCCCCGCCCGCCCGTCCGTCGGTCCGTCCGGCGGTGGCTCGCGGTGTCCCGCGGTATCCCGTGGTGTCCCGTGGTGTCCCGTGGTGTCCCGTGGTGTCCCGTTGAGTGAGATCGATAGTGAGATCGATCGTGCGAATCATAATGAGAGCGATACTGAGATCGATGTGGTGCCCCGAGGTGTCCCGTGGTGCCCCGTGGTGTCCCAAAAAAGTGAGATCGATAATGAGATCGATAGTGAGATCAACAGGTGTCCCGTGGTGTCCCGTTGAGTGAGATTGATAGTAATATCGGTACTGAGATCGATACTGAGATCGATGTGGTGCCCCGAGGTGTCCCGTGGTGTCCCAAAAAGTGAGATCGATGATGGGTTCGACAGGTGTCCCGTGGTGTCCCGTGGTGTCCCAAAAAGTGAGATCCATAGTGAGATCGATAATGAAATCGATGTGGTGCCCCGAGGTGTCCCGTGGTGTCCCGTGGTGTCCTATGGTGTCCCGTTGAGTGAGATCGATAGTGAGATCGATAGTGAGACCGATAGTGAGATCGAGAAGTGTCCCGCGGTGTCCCGTGGTGTCCCGTGGTGGCCAGTGGTGTCCCGTGGTGTCCCGTTGAATGAGACCGATAGTGAGATCGATAGTGAGATCGACAAGTGTCCCGTGGTATCCTGTGGTGTCCCGTGGTGTCCCGTTGAGTGAGATCGATAATGAGATCGATTGAGTCAGATGTTGGTTCCCCCCTCTCCCCCCCCACCACAACCTCCTTATCACCCGAAGGGTGGTCGTAGAGGTATGATGAATTGACGTTTGAAACGCTTGCTTTTTGAATGACTTTGACGCGCGCGCGTGGCCCTCATGGCACTCGTTGGTCGGATTTCCAGCAAAACGCGATTTTTAGATCAACGCGCGTGCACCACATGGTAATAATGGACAAGACATGATTGGGGCGCGGCGCCGCGTCGGCTGGCAAGGTGTCACTTGATACTTATCGCGAGCGATCGCGCAGACTACATGGTGCGAAGCGTACACAGGCGCGAGCGAACACGTCCGTGTAAGCCTTAGATGTGCTGTGCGTACAAGGGTCTCTGCGGCGCAATCGAGGTGCGATTAATTTGGAAATCTCGAAGGCGGCAACCCCAGTGCCCAAGCAAACGCCCGCCCACGCACAAGTTGTTGGCAGTGCCCCAAGAGGCCGAGGGCGCAGTTACCTGTCAGACCTTATCAGATCGAACGGCCGACGACGATGATGATGCCGATGATGATGACGGTGGCGATGGCGGCGATGATGGCATCGGTTGGCAGGGAGTGAGCCCGGCATACTCTGGACCAGCAAAGCGCTTGTATCTCAGCTGCCCCGATACGCAGTACGCAACACGTACCGTATTGATACGGAGCTCAACACGTAGGCTGAAAACGTAGGTCCGACGTGATACATTCGCCAAAACGTGGTCCAATACGTGGAGCCAACACGCAACGTATTGACACGGACGTCTTGAGCACGGGACGTGTTGCGTTAAAAAAACGGGCGCATCGAGGCAACTGAGGCTTGCATGTGTGTGCTCGCTTCGGGGCCACCAAAAGCCATTGGTGGTTGAATCTATTCGACGTGCGCGCGCGGGGGCGCGCGCGTGGCCCGCGCGACGTCATTCCACGACGGCGATGGGGGAGATGCACAGCCCATGAGTTCGGCAATGCAGCGCTGCTTTTCTCGAAGGATTTCGACGCGCGCGCGGGGCGCGCGCGCAGCCCGCCGGGTCGGGCTGCGCTTGGAGTCCGGGGCCCCGTGGTTTAGCACGCGCACGCGCAGCACACCTGACAGACATGTGTTGCTCAGCGGCTGTGTTTCTATCTTATCTTATATTTCTGTGCTGTAGCTTACGTTGCTTCTCGTGTGTTCATGTAGATGCCCGCTTCTTCAGGTCCTGAAACATTGGATGTAGTATAAAATGCAATATTTTCTTAATCTGTCCCACCCATTTTAATATATGTCCACCTATGATATTTAGCCCATAACCTATGTGCTTGGATCGATCTATCTTGGAAATGCTCCGAACACCAACGGGCCAGAAATGGTCTCGGCGTGCGCGCGCGGGGGCGCCGGCGCGTGGGCGGCCCGCACGGCGCCGCTGGCCAGAGAGGACGGGGCAGTCGATGCCTGTCATTGCTGGGGCGGTGTGGTTCCAGATGTGGGATGCACGAACGCGGAGGATAACGAATCCAGGATCTCACGGTCCGTGGCCTGCTGTTGAAGCGTCGTCAGTCGTCGAGGCGTATGCGCCAGGGCCTGTCCCTCGCGGGGAGATTCCTCCTTCGACGCCCCGAGCGTGCATGCCACAGGCGGCTGGTCCGCAAGCCGAGAGCCCAGAACACAAGGAATACTCTAGCGAGACAGCTCCTGGCTCTGCGAGGGCTCGGGGGGGGGGGGCACGGCGGGAGCTTGGGGACGGTGGAGGGTAGGAGGGCGAGAGAGAGAGAGGTGGGCGATATAGAAAACCAGGCTCGGATGGCGAGGCCAGGGTGCGAAGGGAAAGCGAGGGGGGAGGAGGTCGGCAAGGAGTGGAGAGACGTGAGAAGAGAGATGCATCGACGGAGCACAGAGTTACCTGTCATCTGCATGAACGCGAACGTGCGAGGCTCCGCGCGGATGTCCTGGCTCGGCACTGGAACCAGCGCCGGAGGCCCAGCGCCGTTCCAAGCAATCTGCGCGGAGCTCCAAAGTTTATGCTTATAAGGCTTTTCCTGCTTCGAGAAGGGGAGGGGGTGGGAGGGAAAGGGGGCAGTGAGAAAGAGAGAGAGAGAGAGCAAGAGGGATGGAGAGAGAGTGGGGGAGAGGCTCAAACAAGTAATGCGCTGGAAGGAGACATGGATCGCCGCCAAAGGGCTTCCTGTACTTTCGCATCAGGTACGCCAGCATGATGCAGCAAGACCTGCGGTGCCCGATCATGTCTGATCTCCTCATAACACCTTGCTCGCCGTGGCCTGGCGCAAGTCTGCCATTGCTGGGCGGCGGGCACGAAGGCTGCGACTGCTGGTGTGGCCCAGTCCCCTTTCCCTCCTCCCCCCGCCCTCCTCCATACCCTCCTGCTCCCCGATCATCCTCCCCCTTCCGCCTCAGCCCCCCCGCTCGACCTGGGTGAACAAAGGGAGACCGATAGTTACAGCACCCCTGGGACCTCTCTCCGGGTGCGCTCTACCCTCCGCCGGCGGAGGCGCCCTCGTTTTGCTCCCGCCGACTTCCGCCGCCCTTCCGCCGAGGAAGAGACGTGAACAACTCGATCCCTCGAAGGCGAGGCCCTCGTCGGAAACGCGAGCTGAACGGCTAGACGCACGCGACTTGCAGACATTTGCTCGCGAGCCTCTGAAGGCTCCGACTGCGCGCAGGAGGGTGAAGCAGAGGGAATGGTGCAGGGGAGAAGAGTGCAGAAAGGGATGGAGGGAGGCAGGAGGGAGGCATCGGGGAGGATAGATGGAGGATGGATGAGGGAAGGAGGAAAGGTTCGGTTCGGTTTTCCCCGAGAACACCATGCATGTTTAGTGTCAGCCAAGGGAACGTTCAGCTTACTGAAGCTCCACTGTACATCCGACCCTGTTACCGATGTGATCGAGGAGGAAAGGAGAAGTGAGGAGAGAGGAGGGAGGTGATGGATGACAGTATACCTCCATCGAAGCGAGGGATTGCATCTGGGCAGTTAGCGGATGTTGAACACGGTGGGGCATGTTGTCAAGAGTGTCGGACTCTCCTTTCGTCATCAAACGAGATGTTGACATGCTCCCTGCAGAGCTGCAAAGGAGCGAGTACAGTGAGGTCCTCGCCGCAACATGTATAGTCCCAGCCTTCGCCGCATGCACCAACTCGGCGGAGTCGGCGGAGTCGTTGGAGAGGGTTATCGTTTTCTTCATCGTGTCAACTGATCTGCAAAAAGAGGCTGATGTCGTGATGATTGTGGACGTGGGTACGACCCGTCCTGCCCGTGGTCATGACAGTCCCATGGATCACTGGCACAATGATCCTGTACCAGGTGGTCCAGCTGCTGAAGGGATCCCCGCAGGATATTCCGAAGACTTCATCGGTTTGGGCGCGGCTCAGCTTCAGATGACCGACGCGAGCTTAGGTGGAAACTGGCAGCTCGGATCGAGCCCGGCGAACTCGAAGTTCGAATCGGATCGATCGTCTCGGAATGGATCCGACTGCCCTTAGAAGATGGAATACTGCATAAACATGAACTCCTGTGCGTATCTCGGCATACAACGCATGGAAGTACGTATCAAAATTGTCTTACGGCAGCAAGCCCGTCGCCTCCAACATCAACCCAATGGTCATCGCAGCTGCCGGGGGCGGTGCTTTTAAGCACTTGCGCAGCAGGGCACAAATTTCCAAAACACTCTGCATTGTCTTCGAGCTTTTCTTCGGCTCTGCGTGGCCGCCCAAGAGCCTGCCCGACGGCCGCGTGATTGGAGGACTTGACGGCGGTGTCTCAGAAGAGCGTGCTGTACGTGAACATCCTTATTGGATGCAAATTCACCATGGGGGGCATGCTGTGCTCATATCGGAGTGCTCTGGACGGCTCTCAACATAACTTTGGTCCCCTTCCACGAGCATGACGACATCTGCGTGCGCTGCGGCCAGGACTTTGAGTCGGTCGCACATCGTCTTTGGCAGTGTCCTTGCAACCAGGAAGAGAAGCAAACTTTGGATGCAGTTGCGCCCAGGCTTACATTATCTGACGATCTACCACCATGTATAGCTCGTTGCGGACTGATCCCGGCCACGTGTACAGGGCGGCATGTACATCCTGTCCATGCGATTGCAATTTCGTCTTATGTTATTCGTGTTGATGCCGTTGCGACACAGGCGTTGGTTGACCACCGAGCTGGCAGGCGGGTGACGCTTACCTTGAACCAACCACGCTCCAGGCCACTCTTGGACATGTACCGTTCTGCTCTCACTCCACTCAGGCGCCTCAAACCCTGGTGCAGACAGCGGAGCTTTACGACGAGCAGCTGCGCTGGCCGAACAATTTCCTGAACAACCAGATCGTGGCATATTTTCTCCACCATCCATCCTCACACTGTCGTGTGACGGATCAGCAAGATCTGCAGACGGGGAGGACGTTTCTGGTTGGGGTTTCACTGTGGCGGTCCCTGGTTGCCAGTCCCAATCGATCATTGTGGCCCCACGGTCGCAGACCCCAACGGTGAGTGCTACATTGGGGCCGGCCAGGACACCAACAACGTGGGTGAGCTCAGCGCTCTGTTTTGCGCCCTCTCGTGGTTATTACGGGAGCACGGAGGAGGAGGAGGAGGAGGAGGACGAGGAGGAGGAGGAGGAGGAGGAGGAGGAGGAGGAGGAGGAGGAGGAGGAGGAGGGGGAGGGGGAGCGAGCGAGCGAGCGGAAGCCGAGGGGCAGCTGGATCCAGAGACAGGGAGGGAGGAACAACCCTCACAACCCCCCCCCCCCGCGCCTACACGGTGGAGCCCGAAGGCCAGGACCACCTTGCAAGCACCAGGGCGGGGCGGGGGGGCCGTTCCTACCTCAAAGCAAACGCGGGCGGCCAGGGAGCACGGGGCCTGCGGCAGGCCCGTGCTCACTCGCACGAGGCCCGCCGAGGCGACTAAGGGCTCCTCGAGGGCTCCAGGCGCCTTGAGCAGGTGCAACCACCAGACCCAGTCCAGCGCCAGGGCAGCGAACGCCATGCCCACGTGGAAAGCGCCGCCGACGTGGCAATCGAAGGGGGCGCGGAAAAACAGCGTCTCGATCGAACCACGGCAAAGCAGACTGGCGCTCCCGCCACTTAGAGAATTCAAGGGCCAGCAAGGCTGCAACCTCAAGAATCTCGGACTGAAGTCACCAGCCTGGCGACGAACGAACCTGCCGCCCGTAGGGCACAGGATTTGAAAACAGAACAAGTTGTAGAAGCCACCGAAGATCAAACTCCACATCATGGCTCCAGATCGGCGTACAGTCCACGCTGCACACTCACTCCGACTCTTGGTCATCTTCATCATCTTCAGGAATGTGGCCTAGCTTAGCTCCACGGCCTCGCGAAACTCGAACCCGCACGCCAGGAGGATGCGCGATGTGTCCAGGAGCCTCTGCTTCTTCAGTGGGGTCCGAACTGCACTGCTGCTCAGCTCCAGCTCCCACTTCTTGGTCACTCTGACCATGTTCCGTGCTGGCCCAGATGGCGACCGCGGGGGCTCGAGCCTGACATGGGCTCGAATCGCCTGTGGATGCCTGAGATTATCCGAGTGCCGACGGTTTTCCACTTCACGGCCACCTCCATGCTTGCCTTTACACTTCTGAGCCAGCCCCCGATGATTCTTGGAGTCTGAACAGAAATACTGGCAGCACGTGGAACATAACAAAATAAAGTGTGGCGAGTCCACCATCGGATATTCCACTAGGCTGTGCCCTGCCACATGCCATGGCTCCAGGAAACCGTCTAGCTCATCTTCCAGGACCAGTTCGCAATGGGGCTCATTGTCCACCATGGCGGTCAGGGACTGATGAAAGGGGGCCCCCTGCTCCCCATCTGCTTTCAACGGGAAATGGTAGCCCAGGCCCTCTGCGTTACAATCATACAGCCACGCTTGAAAACTCCCCAGGCACTGCAGTAGCATATTGTGCAACTTCCTGCAGCCCCGAACGAAATCCACGTGCTCGTCCTCTGGCATATTATATGCAGCCCCACGCTTCGCCAATGCGTCCGCCGTGGAGTTGACCGTCTTCTCAAAATCAGACAACACACCTTCAATCACATCCGTCGGTGTCGCATGGCCCTTCACATGCTTGAACGCCTGCCGATGAAACTCCTCATTCTGAGCAATCAACTTCCACGCATTAGCTCTTGGATTGCCGGCTCCCACGGCCAGGCTAGGCGAACGGCAGTACGACAGCGTGCCTTTGTAGTCTGAGAGCACCGTGTATGATCCCAGAAATTGCCTGCTAACGATCAGCATCGCATAGTCCTCACCACACTTGGCCACTTGAAGCGGGCACATATCCTTTGGCACTGCACCGAAGTATCTGGCCACCCTCCTGCGTTCATGGTCGTATACAACGACTGACCCACCAGCGCTTCTCATGCGCGGTATGTCCGTATAGAAACCACTCCCGTCAGTGAAAACAAAGCCACCGTCAACATGCACAACACCTTTACGATCCATATCATAGTAGTGGTGAGCTGGGTTCCTGCTCGAATAAGCAAAGGCTTGAGCAGGGTCAGGAAGAAGGCCACGGCAGAAGAGAATCTGCAGGGCCTCGGGGGCCTGCTTCATACGCCTGTCTGCATTGTGGAGCTCCTTCGGGAGCCTCTCCTACCTGAAGAAGTGGCACGCGTCGCACTCAAAGAACCAATGATAGAAAGTTCCTGGGCAACCTTGGCACCGAGGGCTCCCCGTTGAAGGACTTCGAGACCCTGTACTGGCACCAGTGAGCCCCCGAGCACAGGCCCCTGAGAGACCTCCTTTCCCTTGGCGGCAACTTACTGCGCTTTGAATGCAGGACCTCATTCATGGGTATCTACGATAAGGGGGCCTTGAGGGACTCGTGAGTCGCCATCTCAGATGGCGACTCACGAGTCCCTCAAGGCCCATCTGCGAGCCTGTGAAGAGCTCCCCTATCGACGTGCCTCCGAACCCCATGCTTGACCATCGAGCTCAGTAGGGCGGGCGGAGTGGTCCTGAAGTCCCAGAGCTGCTCATCGTCATCTCTGATGGTGTGGACGTCCTCCCAAGACCACCCAATCCTGTGGAGCGAGAGGAGATGCGCGGCAATCGGGTTTTTGCACTTGGCCCAGCGTTGTGGGTCCAGTAACAACGGCCTCGCTTCTTTGAGCAGCTTGTCCACGACCGCTCATGTGACGGCCTGCGAATTCATGACGACAGCAAAGGTGTGGACCGCGTCCACCGTCGCAATGACCAAGGG